TTATTTATTATGAATATTCATGAGATACAAAGCTGATTGTCCCCCCTCCTGTCCATGATGTGCGGGCCAGATTCATACTGGGGGCATATCCATTACCAGAGAAAGAGGTTTTTAAAAACTAAGTAGTATGCTGTGCCTGTAACTAGTTCTTCTAACTTAAGATATATTTTGAGGTCTATCAACTCTGTTATGAAAGGTTGACATATTCCTACAAAGGATACACAATGTTATTTGTTATTTTGGATCTATACTTGTTCCCCTGGAAGATATGCTCAATCACAAGATTATGGGAAAGGAATGCTTAACTCAATCATAAGGGAAAGTTTAGGCTTTTGTGAAAGAGCTATTTGGAGAATGAGGATCCTGACCGCATCATGAACATCAGGATGTGTAGGTGCTGTGTGGCAAGCTCTGTTTTGGGCTTGCCCTGACCTAGATTCNCATCAGGATGTGTAGGTGCTGTGTGGCAAGCTCTGTTTTGGGCTTGCCCTGACCTAGATTCTATAAACACCTGAGACGGCAATATTGACTCAAGCAAAGCTGTCACCTAGAAATTAACGCTTTCTGAAGACTTTCTGACCTAAAGCCCAGTGTGACTCTTCTTGCTTTGTACTCAAGTATTTTTTATGTATTAGTGGTACAAAGTTATTACTTAAGCTTTAAGCACAGACTTCAGATCCTATTGAAAAGAACCCAAAGGAATGTCCAAATCCTTTATGTTTTTGAATTTGGGGAATTAAATCTTGCTTCAGATAAGTTATCTACTGGCTCAGACTGAATCTTATGCTGAAAAAGTCATCCTAAAATTAGGTATTGACAAAATATATTTAAAGACCTGTGAACTTGTAGAGATTTTCCCTACCAAAAATAATTAAAATTTTGGCTTTAGTTGAACCTGAAGTTTGTTATAGCTTCACTTGTAATTCGTCCAATTGTCCTTTGAAGCATTTTATAGTGAACAGATTTGGACTTGTCTGGGAATCAGTTCAATAAATGGGGCTAAATCTGGGTAAATAAGTCAGTAAGTATTCTTATAAAATATTTTTCATGCCTTTGCTTCCAGCTAGCAAATACATTTCTAATTCAGGATGGAGGCATCTCTCTGCCTCAAAGAGGAAATATGCTTGAGAAACATGCATTAGGAAATGCAGATTTAGAAAACAGATATCTTGGAGACCTATGTAGAAACTTCCATCCACAGAAGCACTTACATTTGCTCTTTATTACTCAGGCTAGAATTTCATGCCACAGGGACGTCACAGTGGTCACCAGTGTGGTTCATGACAAGATCCCTCATAGCTAGAGAAGGGCTCTTCCTTGAAGTTCTCATACACTACACACATGCCTTTAACAGCACTTAGGTCATTACATTGATAGATTTGTGTAATTTCCCATCTCTACTTCATTTCCACTGTCCTGGACTGTGGGTCCCCTGCAGTCAGCAACTGCTTCGGGTACCTATCTTTCTGTTATGTGAACTAAATGGAAAGAAATAAAAAAATTATATTTGAGCAACAAGAAGGTCATACCACAGAAGATAAATTGCAAGTTGTGGCTTTGTGGATATCAGTGGTTTAGTACACAATAGCAACTAATAGTACACAATAGCAGTTTTGTGGATATCAGTGCTTAGTATACAATAGCAACCAATGTGTACTAAGCACTGCTGTTTGCTGGGCCTGTTTCAATCACTTTGCCCATGTTAATGTGTGCAGTACTTACATTGCCCCATGAGGTATGCCTCTTATTAATTCTATTTCAGACCTGAGGAAACTGAGGCTCAGATTGGTTAAGTCGCTTGCCCAAGGTCATATAGCTAGTAAAAGGTATCACCTTGATTGAGACCCAGGCAAATCACCCCCAGGGGCCACCGTCATAATCACCGCACTGGACTGCCTCTATACGGTTGTTAAAAAGAATGTGGAAGATGTGTCATCAGGGGAGGAGAACAAGGTGCAGAGCAGTCTGCCTAGAATGCTATTATCTGCATAGATTAGGAGAGGAGGGACATAGAATGCTTCCATATGCATAGACTAAATCTAAGGAGGAAACACAGGAAAATAGTTAACATTGGCGTCCTCTGGAGAAAGGAAAAGGGGGACTGAGGGTCAAGAGTGAGAAAGAGGCTTTTTCACTATGCCTCTTTTTGGACTATTTGGATTCTTTTATTTATTTATTTATTTATTTATTTATTTATTTATTTATTTATTTATTTATTTA